ATCTTCTTAAACGGTTTCATCTTCATACCCTCAAACCAGTTTGTACTCCTCTCCCTTCATGTACCACCTTATCCCTCACTGATGGGGAACTTTTAGCAGACCCTACAGAGTATCGTAGCATGGTTGGTGCTTTACAGTATTTGACTATGACGCGTCCAGATATTACATATGCGGTACACTTAGTTTCACAATTTATGCATGCCCCCCCCCCCCCCCCCCCCGCACTTCACACTTTTTGGCAGTTAAAAGTATTTTCAGGTACCTTAAGGGGACATCAGATCATGGCCTTTTACTTCGCCCTACGAAGGACCTAACGATAGTCATAGCTTATTCAGATGCAGATTGGGCTGGTTGTCCAGATAGTAGCCGCTCCACCACCGGTTATGCCATATTTATGGGCTCTAATTTGGTGTCTTGGCGGTCCAAGAAGCAGCCCACAGTATCCAAATCCTCCACTGAAGCTGAATACAGGGCAATTGCTTATACTGTTCAGGACACATTGCATATCAGGTCTGTTTATTTGAGCTCGGCTTCCCGGTTCGTGCACCTGTCAAGCTCAAATGTGATAATATTTCTGCATCTTATTTAACTGCTAATCCTGTTCAACATGCTCGAAGCAAGCACATTCATATTGAATATCACTTCGTCCGGGAACGGGTGTCGCATGGTGACTTGGTGGTTGAATATGTTCCGACTCAGCTTCAATTGGCGGATATTTTTACCAAAAGTTTATCTTCTCACCGTTTTCATTTTCTTAAAGACAATCTGCGCATTGTTTCCCCTGCTCAGATTGAGGGGTGCAATAGAGCATAAATATTGGGATTATTATGTAATTTGTAAAAACTCTACCTATTATAAATATATCTCTTAGGGCTACCTATTGGCTAAGCCACTTCATTATTTCACAAAAACAAACATAGCATTTATCTATTGAGGGAACCATGAAAAAGTAACAAAAGTTGGTTAAAAGTAAAAGAGCACTATGTATAACACGTAGTACTTCACAAGTAATAATTATTCCGTATAATTGTTTCATGTTAGTTGTTGGTTTTTATATTCATTTAACCACATGTAAATTAAAGGAGAGAGAGTCGGGTATTGCTAGTAACTAGATCATTCTTGCCGATTTTTCAGTTACGTTAACGTTAAGTGTCCCGTTAGTTGTCTAAACTTTTGACTAATTACATTTACACCACCATTTAAAACTCAATTGCTACCGTAGATCAACTATTTTGGATGAGAGTGATTTGTTCTTATTTCTCTCCTAAGCCATCATTCTCACTTGAACCACACCCTATATATATATATATATATATATATATATATATATATATATATATATATATAGAGAGAGAGAGAGAGAGAGAGAGAGAGAGAGAGAGAGAGAGCGAGAGAGAGAGAGAGAGAGAGAAGATCAGGTGAGAAGTCTCCCTTAAAATGAGAAGTGGGAAGTAATCTCAGCCCTTGGATTTGCATCTAATCTTACAATGCAACAAACTTATAGACTGAATATAGGAACTTATAACCAATAAATCATAACTTATAAAGCTCTACATCGTAATTACAGAAATGCCACCACGTCAAAAAAAATTGAAGGTCTCTGGAGTTATTTTTTTCGGTGGCATTTTCGTAATTATTTTTGATGGGGTCTATAAGTTATGATTTATTGGTTAAAAGTTCGTATTTTTAGTCTATTAGTTACACTTCGCAGTTTTCTGCCTAAGAGCACTCCTCACCTGATCCGCTCCAATTGGTGTGTGTGTGTGTGTGTGTGTGTGTGTGTGTACTACCTCCGTCCCAAAATTAATTTCCCATTTCGGATTACGATGTTTGACCGATGATAAAGCAACTTGATCCCTGTTCATAATCAGATTACTTTTAGTAAATAAAATTTACATATTGAGAAACTACATTAAAACTGCTACAAAGGCTGATAAAAAAATACCCCCTCCGTTCTCTAATAGATGGAAGTATAACCTTTGGCACAAGATTTAAGAAGGAATTAATAGGGGTAGGATAAAAGGTGTAGTGGGTTGTGTGTAAATTTAAAAGTAGGAAAGAGAATGAAAAAGTAGAGAATGAGGGTAAATAGGTGTATTTATCGAAAAAACTTACAAGAGTGGAAAGGGAGACAACTAATAGAGAACATCCCAAAATGGAAAGAGGGCCAAGTATTAGAGAACGGAGGGAGTATAAATTTGATAAAAATTTGATATATAAAACATAAGATTAAGAGTATGTTTTTATGCGTAAATTAGTATGTTTAACAAATAGGACTGGTATTGTTGTACAAAGGTTGATATACAAAGGCTGAAATACCAGAGCCGGAGTATCTACCAATTTTGTTAAGTACATTTTAAATATTGTTGTAATTTATTAAATACTTCGTATAAATCAATAAAAAATAAAAAAAGAGAGACGATGCTACGTATATGAGTGACATTGTCCGATCCCGTACAATTGTGGGTGCACAAAGTGTTAACGAAGGTGAATAATCCAAAAACATTGAGAAGGATTAAGAGGGACTGATGGCAGCTGGGTTCGTGGGCATGAGGATCTGGCGGTCTTGATTGGATATTATTATAATGATATTTTTACCTCCGTGCAGGGTTTTGGAGATCACATCTTCAATTGTGTGGAACGTAGGATTGAGGAGCACCAGAATGAAGCCTTGCTTCAGCCCATCTCCCAAGAGGAGGTTAAGGTAGCTATTTTTTCCAAGTATCCTGATAAGTCGTCTGGTCCGGATGGGATGAGTCCGGGTTTTTTTTAGCATTTCTGGGATGTCATTGGACCAGATGTAGTGACCTTTTGTAGATATATTTTTGAGTCTGGTGCATTTCCGGATGGTATTAACCACACTCACATTGTGTTGATTTCTAAAAAGCAGAGTCCAGAGTTGCTTAGTGATTGGCGTCCTATTGCACTCTGTAATGTAATTTACAAGATTTTTTCAAAAGTGCTAGCGAACAGGTTGAAGGTCCTCCTCCATTTTTGTATATCTCATCATCAGAGTGCTTTTATTCCTGGCAGATCCATCGTAGATAATGTCATGATTGCGTTTGAATGTCAGCATTTTCTAAAACGCAAGAATCAGGGGAAGGTTGGGTATGCTGCCTTGAAACTCGATATGAGTAAGGCTTATGATAAGTAATCAAAAGTACAATGACAACTATACCGAGTATAATCAACATTTTAATTTCTAATACCCTCAAAATAGGGAGATATCATAATATAAATAATAATTTATATTTCCCACTTATTATCTCTATAATAAGTAAAAAAAATTATTTGTCGGCACATGACCCTTCTTATATATTCCTTTCCGTTCATCATATGTATAACCCAGCCCGTGGGTCTTATTATTTCTACGGGATTTGCTACCGCTGTCCGAGATCTCATAAGGCTCTCGGTTCGAATTTCAACATCCCGCCCCTGGACTCATACCCATCATCCCGTAGGAAGGTAAGGCCCTTCGCGGTCCTATCTTATGTGTTACCGCTGTCAGAGCCTAATTAGGTCTCCGTTCGGATTCCACCCTAACCCGTGATCACGATGCAAGTCGATGTTATGGAACCCCGCTCTCTAGAGTCAGGAAGGGCCATGGTCCTTACTTATTCCCATAATCTAACCGGTTATCCTCAAGGACTACCGAACACGCCCGTAGGCCAATCCTATACCTAGGATCAATTTATTATTCACTTTATCTTGGGTATCCCTTAAGGCCTACACCTAGTATAACTTAAAGCTCATATGTTGCTACCTTAAAGCATCTCTTAAGACTACTTAAGGCATAACATTTCACAATCCAACCTTAGGATCAATTTTAGCAACATTTCACTTTAAAACCCAACTAGTATATTAATACTAGTCCAATTAATTCCAACAAACCAAGTTCTCCATTCATGGTCATTTATAAAATGCCCAATCGATTTTCCATTGAAAATATCATATTTATATCAATATACAAAATATCACTTTTAACCATTCATATATTCTAAAAAGTATATTTCAACATACATTTTATAGTAAATTCCATTACCAAGTAATCATACTCATAACACATGATTATACACAATTTACCTTTAATTTGTATATCATGCTCCCTTCCTTATAGACATAGCCTTCTCATTCTTAGGCATTATTAACCATTAATAATCCATAAAAACACATTTAATTACCTTAGGTAATCTCATGAAATTAACTCACTAATTATAAGCAATATAGTCAGCCATCCTCACCTTATGATGTGCTCAACTAGCTGCCTTTGCGAAACCCCTTGACCCGTCCTCGTTCTAGGCCATTCGAGAGTGAAAATCCGGACTGCTGGGCAAAAGCCGGGCGGCTTTCGGGCTGGTGCAATTTCGGCAGCTTCCTTTAGGTGGCGGTTTCCGGCGGATTTTTCTCCTATCGATTCACTAACTCTTCTAGGTTAAACATCACCACTTTATATCATTATTCTACACTTTTAAATGTGTATAACTTCAAGTTTAATCCACCATATGATTTCTAAAAAAAATCATACACAAAGCTAGTTAGAAAAACTATTTGAGTTCTTACCTTGATTTCTAGCTATTTTCTCTTGAGTTTCCCTTCCTCTTTGCTTGCTCCAACCTTGTGTTTGTGAGAGCTATTCTCAGGACTCCTCTCTCTTGGCTTACTCACTCAATCAATAGCAAAATAATGCTAATGTATGGTCCCAAGTGAGTGTGCATGTAACGTCAAACACCCCTCAACCTTATGTCCGCACCAACCACATTTGGTTGTCGTCCTCCTCATTATTTGAGAGCCTAGAATGTGTAGAATACTCCCAAAGTGGGTGTAGGAAGTTTCCCCCGATTATTCCCGCTATTTCTGGCAGGTTGGGTCAAAAGAGCATTTGTTTGTCCGAACGTTTTTCTCCACCTTAGTTGACATTTTATTGGGCTTCTATAATTATTATGATGACCCAAATAAATATTTAGTAGCTCATTCTCGATATTATGGACCCCGATAAATAATTTAATTAATCATTCATTAATTAAATATATCATTCATTTACATGAAATCATTCGCTAGAAAAATTCAAATACATACTGAATTTTAAATTCAAGTAGATCCGGATGCGGTGTCACACTTTGTGTGGAGGAGTATTTTTTAGGTTCAACAGGTGGTTAGAGAGGGCTATTGTTGGTGTGTTGGAGATGGCAAAACTATTAACGTTTGGTCGGATCCATGGCTTCCAGACGCTTTAAACTCCAAAATGTCTTCTGATTTGTTTGATGGGTTGGAGGAGCTTAAAAAGGTTAGTCTTATCTCTTTGAGGGGTGGCAGTTGGGATAAAGACCTTCTGGAGGAGCTCTTTAATGGTAGGGATGTTGAGTTAATTAGAAGGATTCCTTTGAGCAAGAGAGACGTGCCGGACCGAATCACGTGGAAGGGAGAGGAAAGTGGCAAGTTCTCTGTCAAGAGCTGCTATCGGAGGCTAACTGGAGAATTGAATCGGGATGGATGGGTGGGATGGACTGCAGTTTGGAATTGGGATATTCTACCCAAAATTAAAACTCTCTTTTGGCAGATATGCAGTGGCACACTTCCCACGACGGCGAACCTTCGGAGGAGACTTGTTGCGTGTGCGGAGCGGTGCGGGTTGTGCGGGGCAGAGGATGAATCTCTGATTCATCTCTTTGTTTTGTGTCCAGATGCTCTTAAGGCGTGGGAGTCGGTGGGCTGGAGTTTTGGCTGGATTCAGGGATTGAATTTTTCAGAATGGCTGCAGCAGGTGTTTGACAGTAACAAAGGGGATGAGTTACGTAAAGTGGCTTGGGGTTGCTGGGGAATCTGGTCTGAACGCAACAGGCGGGTGTGGCAGGGTGAGCACCTTGATCCACAACAGTTTATGCACAAAGTGTGGGGTTTTGTGGACAGTTGGCAAGCGGCTGATGTACTTGTATTTTACGCACTTTTTAGGCTTAGTTTGTCGTTAATTTTAGTTATTAAAATTCTACGTTTGTACATATTTTTATAATTTGTCGTTAGTTTGTACTTGTGCAGTCCTACACGGGTATTTTGTATTTTCAGGTACTTTTGATGCTATTTGGATACATTAGAGTGAACAAAAGAAGAAAATAAAAGTTCAACTTGGAGGTCAATAAAAGTGGAATTTCCTTCAAAATAAATAAGGAGTAATTGAAGAAAAGAAGCAAAAATAAAAATGGTGGAGCTGGGATTCGATCCCCGGAGAAAGGGTAGAAGAATGTCTACTACAACCAGTGTGTTAAGTGATCAATATTGTACATATTCAGCTGGCAATTGTTATATTCCTTCTGAACGCGGCAAAGAAAAGAACAAAATGTTGAAGCCTAGAATCGATCCCACAATCTCCGAGTTTTCCACTGAAACGCTTGTCCATTGAGCTACCTATCACTGTTGGAACTTTACTGCGCTTTGTTCTACATAAACTCATCTGTTTCGTAAATTCCAGCAATTAATGATTAATCACCTTATCATTATATTGCCTTAATCCATCTTCCTCCACACATAAGCTCGGACCAACTTCTCTCTAAACATCCCAGAAACATTTCCTCCTCCTTCTCTCTTCATTTCTCAACCCCAAATCATCAACCCATCTTTAACCATAACTAATCACTTTCTCATCCAAGATTAAGTCAAGATTAGCATCAAAGCTCCAAGGATTGTCATCTATCACAAGTTTGATCTTCCTTATTGTAACACCCCGATTTTTATGAGCTAGTTATATTAATCAATATTAATATTTATTTTACTCAATTAAATAAGTTTCTTCTATGATGAATGTGATTGTATGATTATGTTTTGTTGTGGCAGGTAACGTTGACTGGTAAAGCTCATACTAATTTTAATCGAAGAGATAAAATACTATTTTGATATTTATTTATAATATAGTTGGATCAGATTCTTTTAGTTAGGCCAGAAACATTTTTTTAATTAGAAGACTAAGAGGTCCAAATCAATCATCTTGGCCCGAATCAGATGTTGACTAAAATCCCTAGAAGCAGATATATACTTCTACACGTATCCAACAATTGAAACCCTTGCCAGGCTCCATTCTATTTCACCCGTAAACTATTCCCTCAGTAGCAAGTTTTCTTCTCAGCCAACTTCTAATTTTGTTTCCGCCAAAGCTTAATCGGATTCCTGTCTTCATCCCTCAGCCGGCCTTACTACGGGAGGTATTCACGGAACTTCTTTTGTTAAACAACTCTTCAATATTTTCTTGAATTTGTAGTGGGATGGTTTTGTTATTCATGTGCATTGATTTCTGGTTTCATGTTTACGTATGTGTTGCACTCAAGTTTCTAGTGGGCATAATTCAATATTTGCCTTGTTAATTATTTTCAGCTTGTAAATCATATTGCAGATTGTGTTTTTTTTTTCTTTCTTCTTTATTGAAATCCTACTAGTTTGGGTTAATCATTTTACCTCTTGGTGTAAATTTTTAAAATTTAAAATCCCTGTTGCAGCCAAGTGGTGTCAATAATTATTATAAGTCTTCATGAGCTGCTTTCTTAATATGGTAGAGGTTTTATTCTCCTCTCTACGGGTTTGTACTAAGTTTATTTTGAGAAGATTGTAAGATCTTGTATCAGCATTTAATCCTGCGCCCGCTGTTTACTTTCCACCGGAATGACAATCCAGTTTTCATAATTGAGTGATAAGGTGTTCAAGTATTAAGGATTTATAGTTTGTGTGATGAATCTATTATTATTTTTTTCCACCGTTTTATTCATCCAGTTCAGCTCGTTCTTCAAGTTCTTTACAAATAAATAAGTCTACGGTGGAGCAGCTCATTTTTTTTTAGCAAATTATTAAACGTGACCTTGGTCTCTCTAAACTAGTTTTATGAGTATATTCAATTACTGATTTGTTTTCCATGTGTTGAGCCATAAGTAAATGAAGTGTCCCTCGTTAAGTAATATATTGAGGCAAAACATGCTAAACTTAATTGGTTCGGCAGTATACTTTAAAAGATATCAAATTCTCATTATATTATTACACCTTTATATCTAATTAAAGATTTCAAGGAAGAGTTTACCGGGAGACGTTATCAAGGTGCCACACTTAATTGAGTATTTTTGAGTTCAGCTTCTTACAGGTAAGTTCACTACCACCTGTACATGTTTGTTTTACCAAATAAAAGACAGAAGTCTGGTTGATTTTTAATAGATGATTTTAGTCTATGTGCTATTATGTGAACCTAGTGGACTATTTGCTGAGCTATTTTATTTGTCGTGTTAAGTTATGTTTATTATTGGACATAGTCAAGATTATGTTAGTACTTTATTTCAAGATTTGATGATGTTTTTACTCAAACGTCACCATAAAAAGAACTAATATTTAAAGTGAAAGATCAGGTGATATGTACTAGGGAACAAGTTCCCTCAGATTATCAGTTTATCAGTTTCAGATAGTCCGATATGTTTAGTGGGTCGCTCCCCTGAGCTATCGGATTGGCGCCTTTGAGTACATATCACGGGCCCACAGTTAAAATTAGCCACAAAGAGTTTTACAGAAAGTTGTTTTGAGATCTCTTTCAGAAAGTTTACAGAAATGTTTTGAGAAAGAAATTTTGGGATCTCTCCAGTAGTTTTGAGAAATTAATTTAGAAAATATTTTCTTTTCGGATCTCTCTCAGAATTTATTCGAGAAGTTGTTTGTTAATTGTTTGTTTAGTGCATGCTTATAGCCTAAATTTATCTATTGATAAATTAGCATAGACTTCGCAGATATTTTTGTGGATCCATAGTGACTTACTAAGCGTAAAGCTTATCAGTTTTCTTTCTTCGCATGTACAGATACTAAAAGTAAGGCCAAGGCCTAGGAAGATGATGAGAGAGTGGAACGCGTGCCAAGATGAGTTAACGGGAACGACCTTGGCGGCGTGTAGCTAAATATTATTTTATTCCAGTATTTCAGTTGTTTTAATAAAAGATTATTATTACTTTATTTTATTTAAGGATTGAAGTTTGAATAAATTCCTGGATCCAGGTGGTTATCACATTTGCTGGTGATAACTAGATTTTATTGAGTTTTTATTTGGAGTTACATTCTAGTTATGTTTGAGTTTTTTTTTATCAGGGTTATTTCTTAAACAAACGGCCGTTATATTGCAGTTTTTTTTTTAATAGTAAGTTTATGTAACGTTTCCTTTAACCCTGAGAGGGGCGTTACACTTATCTCATTAAATCTTGTACTTTAATCATGAATTCATCTATTTCTATGTTTCCCAACATGTATAGCTAAATAAATTTGGGGCTAGAAATTGGTTAATTAATTGTTCTTATCATGTTTTAATTTGTATTGATTTTAATTGTTAAGTGTTCTATTTAGATTGTTGTGTCCAGAAAATTAATTATGTTGTGTTTGTGATATATATTATGAGTACTCAATCATAAACATATTGTTTGTTAAATACACAAATGAACACTTTCTGAACACACCGTTAAACTTCTTTTACCTTGTCCCGGATTGAAGTTTTACGGGAGAATTTAATTATTTAATTATATTATTTACACCACGGGGTTGGGTAAATAATATAGTTAATAATTAAGGTTGTCGTTGCACTTAAACAACTAGTCTCGTTTTGGCCATCACTGGGAAATGTTGACTAGTTACTTATTTTAGGTGACTTGTGTTGGGTCCTAAAATATTTATCTACAACTTCTCACAATCTGTCTAAGAATAAAATTAGCAATTATGTCTTACAAATGAGCATTGAACAATTAGTTGCCAATTTCTACCCCTACTTGCTATTGGTTGAACTTTGTGTTGATAAAAATCTCTTCTCTCAATCACTTTTATTTAATTACTTTTCCAAGCAAACAAAAATCAAAAGAAACGCATTCCCAACTTTAATCCTTAGTTTGTGCTTAATTATTTTATTTCCCGCTTCTCTGTGGTTCGACACCCTACTTCCTTGGGTAAAAAAATAGTTGTGTGTCCATTATATGCTACACACCAACTTGGCGTCGTTGCCGGGGAAGTGGTTTTAAAAAAAAATTGAGAGCATAAACTTTCGATTTTAGTTATTGTAAATTGTGTGTATATTATTTTGTTGTTATCTTTTTACCTTTGCAGGTCAAAAAAAGTGATTAATTAAAGTTCAAAAAAAAATCAAAAAAAAAATCAAAAAAAAAAAAAAAAAAGACTGTGATTAATCATCTTACCTGAGCATTGGAGTTGGACTTGTTGACTGGACATATCTGGACATTCAGACCATTGAACATATTGTTAGATTTTAATTCAAAGGATAATCCGCCTATATGGCTGGACCGCTTACTTGTACATTTTAATTAAAAGGATACTCCGTCTATATGGTCGGACCGCTTACTTGTACATTATAATTCAAAGGATACTCCGCCTATATGGTCGGACCGTTTATTTTTCTTTTTATGGTGGTTCAAACCCCAACTTTTTAATTTATGCACTTTAATTATCGCAATTTAATTTGTGCACTTATATTATCGCAATTTAATTTCCGCACTTTAATTGCAGCATTTTTTTTTTAAATTTTGCATCCCCAAGTTTGTCGGCCGTGTCCACTTGTTGGTGGAGTGCACTTTTTATTTTTATTTTTTTCTTAATAATCCCCAGACTGTCGGCATAGTTGCATCTTGGTGGAGACTGTATTTATTACTGTAGCTATTTTTTTTCTTCCCTCAAATCACCATATCTGTCGGCCTAGCCACATCCTGGTGAATTACTGTATATATTCATACTACTTTAAGGGCTCACTAGTCTTATTCGGTTTATACCAATTGACTACGTGCGAACCTTAATTAATTAATTAATTCCGCATTTATTTTTTCTTTTCATCTCTCTCTCTCTCTCTCCCCAATCCGAATTCACTTCTGCTTATGCTCACACGTTCACGTGGTGCGAATTGTGAATTGTTATTCTTCTCTGACATTGAAAAGCACATACGTGAACAGAAAAAAATAAAAAAAATGTCAAACGATATTGTTGTTAATGAGCAGGTACCCGATCAACAAATTGTGGATCAGGTTACGAGGACCAGGAAACCACTGTATGATTATGTTACGCCTCCCGTGGATGAGCATGACAGTGTTATTCCACCAGAGGTTAACATGAATCACTTTGAAATCAAGCCTTCTATCATTCATATGGTTTCAAATACTCAATTTGGCGGAGCGCCAACGGAGGATCCAAATAATCACATCACAAAATTCATTCGAGCATGCAACACCTTCAAAATCAATGGTGTGCCAACTGATGCTGTCAGACTACGCCTGTTCCCATTCTCTCTACGGGATCGAGCTCAGAGTTGGCTTGACTCTTTTCCGGATAATCACTTCTCCACTTGGGATCAACTTCATGGTGAATTTCTCAAAAGATTTTTCCCGCCATCTAAAACGGCGAAAATCCGAAGAATGATTCAAAATTTCAAGCAAAATCCCAATGAGCCCCTCTACGAGGCTTGGGAAAGATTCAAAGATCTTCAGCGACAGTGTCCACATCATAACATCCAAAACTGGCACTTGATGACGGCTTTCTATGAAGGCCTACATGAAAATTCTCGGATACTCGTGGACGCGTCAGCAAATGGATCATTCATGTGCCTGGAACTTGAAGAGGCAGAAGAATTGATGGAGCGTATTTCATCAAATGGATCAACATGGTATTCTGAGCGATCATCTGCTCCACCAAAAATCGGAGGCATGTATGAAGTTGATC